CACTCTGCTGTCGCACACATCAGAAGGTCCCTTTCACAAACCCACCAAAACCTATCCTAAAAATCCGTAAGGTTTATCTTCCCTGCTTCCGTCAGGAAAGAGTTCTCACTTCTCTAATGCGTAGAAGCCTTCTGCTAATTCACAGCCTAAATTTATTCTTAGCTAATATTTATACTTATGATTGCTGCTGAAAGAGTCCAAGTTAAAAGTACAATCATCTACAGAACTCAGACTCTGGCAGACCCACAGGACTAAGTCCCAGGCTGTCAGCAGCACAGGGAAAACCTTCCCAGGACCCACCAGTAATAGCACTGCCTCCCTTTCCTCCCCTGCAAATAACTGTAACAGTTCAGTAACAGTAAAGCACAATTTCTAGTAGCGCTATTTGTAATTACAGGATCAGTCAACACACTTTTGAACTTCTGCAAAGTTTAGTCTATATCCAGAGCTGGGTTTTTTGTTGTTTGTTTTTATTAAAGAAAACCTCTTCCTTCCAAGCAAAAAAATGAAAAAGTTCAAGTGAAGGGACAAGCTTTCTGTCAGGCACGTCAACTAACATCGACTTTAAGTATAACCTAAAAGTCAGAGATTTTGTATGGCTATAGTTTAATTATTGATTAGTGGATTATCTGTTTTGTAAAAAGCCAAACGATGGTTGCAGGACACCTCAACAAAGCTAGATCCGGAGGTAAACACGTGTATGCAGCAGGACTCAACAGCTCAGGCACAATGACATGACAAATATAACCATCTTGCTCCAAATGTCAGTTGGGGTCCTGGTGCAGGTTTTTTTTCCCTTGCATTATCTGCAGTTTCCCAGTCACCCTATATAACATAGGTAGGGTGCAAGAAACCACATGCAAGCCATCACTCCATGCTGTAGCATTTGATCTATGAATCAAATGCAATACAGACAACTTCATGCAGCTTCAGCAATACTGTAGCATTTTCCCCAATTAAGATTAAAAGAAAAAATTATCCACGCTGCATATCGCTTCCTAGTTCTCTTACCTAGTTCTTGGGGCTCCCACATGTACGGATCTACTCCACCATAGCTAAACGACTCATATCGTTCCTGAGACCCAGAATCAGTTCGATCATCTTCTCGTTTCAGCAATTTCTTCTTCGCTCTTTTAGCCTTCTGGACTAGATCTGGAAAAGACAGACCCGCATGTCAAGCACCCGACAGTTAGTCACTGAATATTTGTCATTTGAAGCCAGTATAGAATACTCCTCTGATCTTTGAGCACAAGTCTTTTTCCTTGATGACAAGTTTATTATTAATATTTTTGATTTTTACGCAAATATAACCTAGCCTGTTTGGAACCAGAGCACGGTCCAGAGAACCACAGCCAATATGAAATGGTGTTTGTTGTCTGTTATAAAGTAGCACTAAGCTCCTAATGACAAAGCAGTAGTTTTAGACGCACCATTCTGAGACTTAACTGCAAAACAGTAAGCTGTTGACTAAAGCAGCATTAACTTATGAGACCCACTCCATAACATGCTGGGCCACCATACATATAACAGCTCTTCATTCCGAATGATTTTCTGAGGATTCAAGGATGCTCAGAACCTTCTTTTCTCCATTTTTGTACTAACTGCAAACTATATCTAGATAGTTTCCCAAGTACTATGCGGCCCATTGCGTTACCTCATAGTAACGCTAGTGAGAGGAGGACAGTCTACTGGGCCAAAAGGAGGACTAGGAATTTGAAACTTGAGAGCTTTTATCCCCCTTGCAGCTATGTTCCTCTTTGGAAGCTAGCAGAATTTGAAGGGTGCTAATTTTCTTGCAGAAGACATTCAATTTCTCCTAGAATTAAGTCTTTTATACTTCAAGGTTTCTGACACGGTGCTGGAAACCATGAGTTAGCAAGTCCCTTCAGGTTTCTACTTTCCTTATTTAGTATCCAAAACACTAGAACTTCCACCTCAACTGCACCAGAGCCTCTGTTCGGGAGTTTCAGTCACTACAGCTGTGCCAGCAGCACCCCTTCGTGCAGGCATCATACTTACTAACTGAAGTTTTTCAGCTGCTGAAGTTATGCTTCCTCACAAAACGACACTCACTGAAATGAAACACTCTTGTCAACAAAGCTGTGTCCGTCAGGCTGGCAAAGGCTTTGCTAGCATTGTAACATCATCGCAGAAACAGGATTTCTCCTCCCACCTTTCCCCAAAATACTCCCAAGGCAACATGGCAAATGCTAGCTGAACACTGCAGTTTCTTAGGTGAGGTTTACACCATATAAACAGGAAATATAGTAAGTGAGACATACACAAAAAGAATTCGCGATGCCTCATGGTTTTGCCACAGACACAAAAGGTTTTCAAGCAGACTTCATAATGTCTTTCGTAACAAAATCAAACACAAGTACCTCTGTATGACTCACTCAAAGTACTAGAAATGACTAGAAGTCACCTTATAGCTCCACAGTTAGGATACTCTGAATTCGGCACAAAATCACATAACTACTTGTGATATACGGTTTGAACTCTAGTCCCTTGTTTAAGGGAAAAGATAGTTTTGTTGGCCTTCTGTCTGGGAGGGACTTCATTGGGTAGAGCTAGGACAGAAAGTAAGCAAATAAAAACAACATTCTTGATATAAACACACAGATGAAAGACCTGTGCCTGAGAAGGCGCAATACACTACTTTAAAAGAATACTACAGAGAGAACAAAATCAAAATGCAGGTGTTCTGCATTAAATAAAAGAAAGCATTTGGGAAATCTTACCAAGCCTAAGTTGTTGTTTTCTTTCCTCTTAGTGCAATGCAAACCATATTGCTGTTCTGGTTTAAACACTCCACTGAAGCGCCTGCGATTCAGCTATTACAGCACTGTGCCCATGATGAGAACGTGATGCAGTACTGACCAGTCTGCCTTCACTGTCCAAGAAGAGCACAGTGCTAAAAGCCAAGTAGCAGCCAGACTGATGGAAAGCAACTTTTTATAAAATATATGTTGTACATATATTTTTTAAATAAAACACTCAATCGTACTACTCTTAAGATAGGTTATTAAAAACAGGAACTTCACTTACAAGAGAGACTTTTGAAACAATAGCCATCAATCTCATTAAAAAAGAAGGTAAAAATTAAAAACTGCCAGGGTGCTATCTCTATTATAATAAAGTAACAATGAAAAGATTTTTGCAAGGAAGACAGAAAATACCCACTGCTCTGCACATTTCTCTCTCCATGTAAAAATGACACAGTGTAGACAAAAGAGAAACCAAGGAAGCAGTATTTTAGTTGAAAAAGAATCCAAAGGGATTTTCCAGACACCAGTGAAAGTTGGTGATCTGGAGCGCAACTCTGGGATACTCTCAGCATCTATCTACTGCCCTCCCTCAGCCAGCACCTCCAGCCATGTTCTTGTCTATGTTTATCTACCACCAACCGTCCTTAACTTTACACTTCGCCTCACTGTCAGAAATAGGGGATTAATGAGTTGGTACCTGGCAAGACCGGAGATTACCTATATTCTGTGAAATCCCAAGTGTTAGCTGAAGAATTTATCTGGGTTACAGCATGAATTTGAGAGTGCTCAGGTTAAAAAATAAATAAACAAAGCCAATAACATGTACACAGTACACGCAATCAGATACCTGCAGAGTCAGGCCTTCTAAGTGACTACTTTCAGTATGTAAATTCTAAAACACCACTAAAAGTAGCGAGTGAAGAATAACGTATTAACTACGCCTTAGCGTAAGTCCTTTCACGGGGAAACGGAGCCCTGCCCCCGCCGTAACTCACTTCCATTAGTATTTCAGTACTACTAGCCATCCTGAGGGTCTGCAGCACCAGCAGCTTCGGCTGCAGGGAATTTTACCAGACAAAAAGGAAAGCGCCAAACGCGCCGCCAGGCCTCACTTCTGAGCTGCCCTCGGACATCCCCGTCCTCGCCGGAGTGCTCCTCCTCGTAGTGCGACTGCAGCTGGTAGAAGGACTGAAGGTCCTTGAGGCAGAGCGGGCACAGGAACCCTTCTCTCACGTCGCCCGGGTCGCCGAAAGGCGGCGGGCAGCTGGAGGCCATG